GAATCCCCTCTCTCTCCACTCCCGGGGGCAGTGGGTAATGGGGTGCTCCCACTCTCCCCATCGCCTACCTCTTACTGGCTGTCCTCTCTGTGATGAGCACAGACTGCCTTGGGCTGCGCACCCCGGAGTGGGGAAAGGCTTCACCCCGTCCCCAGGGTCCAGCCTGAGAGGGCTCCTCCCCCTTGTGAGAAGACAGACAGGCCTGCGGGGCCTTGGTGGGCCAGCCATTCTCCCCCCACGACCAGCAGGTCCTCCTGCCGCAGCTGACCGCTCTCTTCTCTCCACGCCAGTCTCTGTCTGACTGACTGTGAGAGAGGTTTGGCAATCAGAAATCTTACTGGAACAGAATTCATTCCAAATGGAGTGGCAGCTCTTCATGACACGGGAATGGAGTATTAGAACAAACACCCACAACCACTTAGTAAATAGGAGAGAGATGCGAGGAGAAATCACAAGGTGATGAAATTTTAGTGACCAGTAACACAGGGAGGAAGAGTGAAGGACGACCCACTTCCAAGAGTCCGGATGCGGGCAGGAGTGCAGCCCCGGGACCTGGATGGGCCTCGTGTCACAAAACAAATATCCAAGACCCCTCCTCCATTTCCTCCAAACAAATCACTTTGACCCCCACTTCCTCGAGAAAACTGCGTCTCCAGTTCTGGTTGCCTGCCTTCCCGTCCCCCCGACGGACTCACTCATGTCCATACCCGCCTCCTGTGCCTGGGGGCCGAGCCCTGATGCCCTGGGTCCTGTGTTCCCTGCATGTGGGAGAGACAGTGGTCCCCCGCCTCACCTGGGGCTCTTCCCCACGGCAAGCCCCCATCAGCAGTTCACCTGCCTACCCCTCCTCACGGCACCCGGCGCCCTTCCTGCACACACGGCTCTCTTGCAGAACTTGCCTAAGTCTGAGGGTGCTACGACCCTCCTGCCGGCCCTGGGGTTCTACAGCTACCCATGCCCTGAGCCGTGCACGGCAAGGCCCTCGTGACCTGCTGCTGCTGACCACACCGGCCTGTCTCCCTGGGCCCCGCTGAG